GGTGATGTGCAGGTGCAGCCAGTAACGCCTGGTGGGTTGGGTTTTTCTACTGCTCACATTCCAATGCGATGGCTCAGGAGATATTTTTATTATTTTTTTTTTATTATTTTTTTAATTATTTTTTATAATAAATATTCTGTAGCCTGAGTCATGCTAGCGAAGCCAAGACATCGGGTTTGCATTTTGTCACCTACTGGAGTGCTGCCTTTAATGCCACCCCACGTAGGCTCAGCCTAGAGCTCAGCTATTGGCCTCGGCGTATTTTTGTGCGTGTTTCACCTGGAGCTGCTCTGCAAGGTGCTGTGTTTACATCAGTTCAGAAATGCAGGTTGACGGCAGAGCAAAAAAAAAAAAAAAAAAAAAATTCCAGCTTTCCAGCTTCTGTGTACTTGGACGTGCCCAACCGGAGTGACCTTTCAAAGCTTGGGTGTCAAATTGTGGAGGAATGCTTCTCCCATCCACCTAGGTTCCACCTATCACACACAGACACGTGGCCAGCAGGATTTTTAACTTAAACCCAGGCAGTTCCAATGCTCATCTTCCTCATTCTCTCAAAAATACCCTAATTTTAAGTACAGCTTAAGGTCCCACCATCAGTCACATGTGCCACACCAGTAATACTCAGGGGCTGCGTGGCCCAGTAGTGCAGTAGTGAGGGAGTAGCACCAGTGCCTCTGAAAAGCTCATTCTGGTTAAGCTGCCTTGGAGAGGGATGGGGAGCATCTTACAAACTGTTGCTGTATCTCTCCAGGTTCCGTGTGCTTTTTGCCTCCCGGAGGAGGGCCTTGCCAAGTCCCAGACAAAACCACTCCAATGCTGCTGGCTCATACCCGTGCTTGCAGCAGGCTGGTGTTGGAAAAACACAATCTGTCGTCTTTGCGCAGCGTAACTGGTGGCTGAGAGCTGGGGGGGTTGAAGGGGGTTGTTGCTTCTCAGTCAATGAAAAAAAAAAGTTTGATTTTTTTAATTATTTTTTTTTTTTATTTTCAGATCTTGTCTCAACTGTCAACATGGAGCTTGACATCCAGTGTGAGGAGATGAGCCCATCTAGATGGGCTGAACTTCTGTCCACAATGAAGTCCTGTAAAACCATCAGGTAGTAACTAGTTGTGTGTCATCTCTTCTAAGAACTCTTGCGTTTCTCTCCTCTGTTTTTCAGCCGCAGAACTGTTGACCTGTGACTTAGCAACTGCACAGTAACAGGAATGATTCTACCTATTTTTATCCAGAAAGTTAATTTAAAGGGGGGAAAGGCGTGCTGTAGAACTCAGCTAGGTAATGTGGTTATCTAAACATTTGAGCACTGCTTTGGTAATTCTGTCTTTCTCCCCCAGGAGAGAGAAGGCGTCTCTCTGTGCTCATTAGGTTGCTGTCAAGTAACTGTTGCTTAATAGTCACTCACAAGCTGCATGCCATCAACTTTTAATTCTTCACTTGGCTTTCAAAAGTACCTGCCTTGTGTGTTGAGCAAACCAGTGGGAGGGAACCATCTCCTGGAGTGTAAGCTGCAGGACAGGGTTCAGAAGAGTTGCTTCTGCACTCTTCCCCCTCTTCTGATTGGGAATTCACACCCCACGGGCTGGCATCGTCTTGCATGGGCTGGAGAGGACGGGCAGCATCAAGCCAGCGATGGCTTGGAGGAGGTCTGGCAGGTTGAAGGTGGCTTGCTGTTGTTTTGCAAAGGAGCTTTTTGCAGGCAAGCTTCATGGGCCTGACCTTGACTTTTCAAGGACTGCCTTGGGAAGGCAGTGGGGTGGTTGTACCCTGGACAGAGGCTGGGCTGCTCAAGACATAGTGGATGAGCGTGACTGCGGCCGGGATTGTTAATCCTGTTGAACGTGGCCCCATTGGGAGCCAAGCCTTCTTGCCAGAGGGAGGGGAGGAGAAGCCTGCCAGAGCCTCAGTTTTCATAGTGTTGTCTAAGGAGAAATGACCAGGCCACTTCTGGCAGTCCTGGCTGTGGCTGTGCCTCGGGCTGTAGGGCTCTTCATGACACCTTCCTTTTGCCCCATGTCTTTTCCACCTCCCTGCCTGTCCTGGGCTCCCAGTCCTTTCCTTGGCTCTCCTTCCAATTCGGCTCCCCCCATCAATTCAGTGACAACTAGAAAAATGCTGATGTCTGGTGGGAGAAGGTAGTGCCACCCTGCTAACTCACGGTTTGTGCCCTGAGAGTCATGCTGGAGAGAGATGGTGCAGACCGGTGTGACTTGCCTACACGAGACCAAACTGCTGATGGGTGCCCCTGGGGCTGGCTGGAGACCCTGGCTGGTCTCGGTGCAGAACCTGTTTGAGAGCCTGTAAGCTGGCCTCTGGTTAGACACAGCTGCGGGTGCTGGGTGGTTTGTCGCTGTCAGTGTGTAAATGAAGGTGCATCCTCCGGCTGAAGCCATGCTAAGGGGGTTGACTTGAGTCATGTGCTGGCTTCTGCGCAGCACAGAGGAGTTCCATGGCTTGGGGAAACTGCTGTCCAGCCCCTCCTGCGCAGCAGCCCTGCAGAGAGAGCACGTCTTGGCTTGGGGCGTGCATCGCCCAACAGGCCACACACGTACTTACGGAGGTGTCCCAAGGATTGCAGAGGAGTAAACCACCCGCTTTGCTTTCACAGGGAATGCTCCAGCCAGGAAGAACAGAGCAACGCTGAGGACTAAAGTGCTCCTTCTCTCCTTCTCTTTCAGGCTGGATGACTGCAATCTCTCCAGCAGTAACTGTGAGGATCTTTCCTCCATCATCAATACGAATCCGTCCCTCACGGAGCTGAAGCTGAACAACAATGAACTGGGAGACGTGGGCGTTGAACACCTGTGTAAAGGGTTGCTGATGCCAAGCTGTAGCCTACAGAAGTTATGGTAAAACCCCGTTGATGCCTTGTTCCCACATGTTTGCAGTCTGCTGCAGGTGAAGTCATGAGGTAGCCTAGCGTGCGATAGTAGCCATGCCAATGCATCTAGGCAGTTACCTGGGTCAGAGGGTTGGAAAACCCAGAAGTTTTTATCTAAGTGGTATATTTATTGGAAGACTCCAGATTATCAGTCTGTCTTCCTTTGTCTTCCAGCACCGAGGGAAGGACAGGTAGGGTTTTCCCAGCCAAGCAAAGGCTTTCTGGAGACTTTCTTTAGAAGAGGTAGCAGATCTTCCCCCATCCTAGGGAGCTGTATTTTCTGTTTAGGCTGGTTTAAACAAAAGGATGACCACAGTGGGCCCCACTCTGCTATTAGCACATACCTGACATTTTCAGCAATGCATTTTTCAGAGGGTTCTTCTGCCAGTCGTAAGCACGATGTTTAGCGCCTGGTCCAGTTTGCTCGCTGCAATCTCTAGCAGCCAAGCAAAAGGGTGTTCTCATGAGCCTTGGTGTTTCAAGAACCGTTAGTCTTTCTGCACTCTACCAGACAGGCTCTGCCTCAAGCCTTGACTTCTCAGCTGGGCAGGGCCAGCTTGGTTCAAGACAGCATGTTTTGCGGAGGCACCAGCACCACATTATAGCATTAGTGGGCTTCCCTCGGCAACTATGGTGCAAGAGCTTTAGTCAAAGCCAGTGGCTGCTGCCTCTGCTCCTCCATTACCCTCAAAGAGATGCTACCTTCTCTGTCCAGCATATCTTCTGCAGGGTACTGGAGTCCTCCAGCTCCTGAGGTGGGTCTAGGATCTGCCTTGTAAAAATAATTTGCCTTTTAGATTGGATATGCCTGCTTCAAAGTCCCTCTGCCCCCTGCGGTGAGGGAAAGTTGACTCTGAAGCTAATCAAACAGCAACTCTCTCATGGGCCTTCAAGAAATAACTATGATATTCTGTACTGGAAGACTTAACACAAGTAATTTTTCAGAGAGTTTGTCCTAAGCTTCAAACTTCTCCAGATGCTGAAGTAACAGCCTGGATTAGGCTGTTTCAGTTCTGTAGAAACATAATTGTCTGGTTTTTGGGTAAGGTGCCTGAGGGAATAAAAGAGCAACCAAACCCAAGTCTAACTTAGTATCACCAAACACAACACCTTTCCCTTGCCGGAAAGTCTAGTCTGATCACTCTAGACACCCCAGAGCAATATCAGCATGGTTCCTACGCTACTTATCCCAGCCTGAGTGCTGAAGGATCAGCTTCATAGATCCTTCCTGTAGTAGGAACCATTAAACTTTTAAATGATACCAAGGGATTTAAGCCAAGTTGGATGAGAGTTTTTTTACTTTTAGCTACTCTGGATCATATTTCCAGAGGGGGCAATAAATCGTAAGATGCCATTGCTTTATCTCTGGGATGAGCCTCATGATGATTAGAACACTTATAGAATCATAGAATGTTTTGGGTTGGAAGGGACCCCTAGAGGTCACCCAGCCCAACCCCCCTGCAGGGAGCAGGGACACCGCTAACTAGATCAGGTTGCTCACAGCCCCGTCCAACCTGGCCTGGAATGTTCCCAGGGATGGGGCCTCCACCACCTCTCTGGGCAACCCCTGCCAGGGTTTCACCACCCTCAGTGTAAAGAATTTCTTCCTTAGATCCAGGCTAAACCTACCCTGTTGTAGTTTAAAGCCATTACCCCTTGTCCTGTCACAGCTGGCCCTACTAAAAAGATTGTCCCCACCTTTCCTATGGGCCCCCTCTAAGCCCTGAACGGCCGCACTCAGCTCGGCCCGCAGCCTGCTCTTCTCCAGGCTGAACAAGCCCAACTCTCCCAGCCTGGCCTCCTAGGAGAGGGGCTCCAGCCCTCGGATCATTTTAGTAGCCCTCCTCTGGCCCTGCTCCAACAAGTCCATGTCCTTCTTGTGCTGAGGACTCCAGAGCTGGACACAGGGCTCCAACTTGAATCCTTTGTGTGCTATAAAGCAGTTGTGGTGCTACTTAATGTAGGGTGGAGCCGCCTTCTGCTGGAGGTGTTCTGTGAGTGATTACACCGATGAAAGCATGGGAGAGATTGCTCATGCTGCAGGTATAACACCAGCTGATAAAATACTTTGGCACACCTGTAAAATAGCAGTACTAACCTGGGTATATGGGTAACACACTGTCAGTGCCACAGTGTCCTTCCCAAGCTCAAACCTCAGCAGATGCACCTCTGTGAGAACGGCCTCCATAATTCCAGGGCTGCCTTTCCCTCACCCTGGTTGCCTCTCTCCTTTAGGCTCCAAAACTGCAATCTGACAAGTGCCAGCTGTGAGACTCTTCGCTCCGTCCTCAGCGCACAGCCATCCCTGACAGAGCTGCATGTGGGTGATAACAAACTGGGAACTGCTGGAGTGAAGGTGCTCTGTCAAGGGATGATGAACCCCAACTGCAAGCTGCAGAAGCTGCAGTAAGTAGTTACTGGGCTTTTTTGGTCATCACACGGGTCATGCTTGTCTTTCCCTTGAGACAAGCAGGAGTTTTGTTGCCAGATGTGGATTTCTTCCTGTTTTATCTGAAATTGTGTGATGCTTATTCGTGCTGGTAGGTCCCGTGGGTTTGTGAGAGCTGGGTGTCTTATTCCCACAGGCTTTGTTTAGCTCTCCTGGCAGCAGTGGCTGTTAACGCAGGACCTCTCAGATGCCCAGGGAAAGTCTGATTCTGCTGCACGTGGTCCTTGTTTCAGCTGAGTGGGACCCAGGTCTATTTGCAGCCCCCAGCTCCTCCTGGGAAGGCTCAGTGGCGAGGCTGTGCAATGTGTGGCAATGCAAAACTCAGTTCCATGTTCCAAGGCAGTCTGGGCTTGGTTTTAACGGAGGACTAGTGTAAAAATGGGGTGGGTAATTAGGCTTGTTAGGGTCCCCTGAGGTCTAGTTTAATCATAGAATGTTTTGGGTTGGAAGGGACCCCTAGAGGTCGCCCAGCCCAACCCCCCTGCAGGAGCAGGGACACCTTGAACCAGATCAGGTTGCTCACAGCCCCGTCCAACCTGGCCTTGGATGTTCCCAGGGATGGGGCCTCCACCCCCTCTCTGGGCAACCCCTGCCAGGGTTTCACCACCCTCACTGTAAAGAATTTCTTCCTTAGATCCAGGCTAAACCTACCCTGTTTTAGTTTAAAGCCATCCCCCCTTGTCCTGTCACAGCTGTGCCTACTAAAAAGATTGTCCCCATCTTCCCTATGGGCCCCCTTTAAGCACTGAACGGCCGCAATCAGGTCTGCCCACAGCCTTCTCTTCTCCAGGCTGAAGAGAATTAGTGCCTCCTGAAATGAGCAGAGAGATGCTGTTAAAAAGTCTTACGGTTATCTCTATTTTCCTGGGTTGCCTGGTCTCAGCCCACGTTGGCATGTTTTCTGCCCTGGCTAACACAGACTTTGCCCAGCTGATGCCTTGTGGGTAGCGGGACATGGAGAAGACTGTTTTTTTTTCCCTCTGGACTTCTTTTCTTCTCACAGGCTGGAGTATTGCGAACTCACAGCTGATATTGTGGAAGCTCTCAATGCTGCCCTGCAAAGCAAGCCCACCCTGAAGGAGCTCAGCCTGAGTAACAACACGCTGGGAGATACAGCTGTGAAGCAGCTGTGCCGGGGACTGGTGGAGGCAAGCTGCAACCTAGAACTGCTACAGTAAGGAAGAGCTGGTCATCTCTAACTGCGGCTAGTCCTGCTGCTAGTCATACCACCCATAAGACAGGAAAAATTGTCAGGAATGCTTGAAATTTCGGCCAGCTTTTTTGCTGGCTCAGATTTCTGTAACTGGAAACTGCAAGCAAATGTCTGGGGCTTTCAGTTTTGGGTTTTTTTAATTGTTTTTTTTTTAGCATGTGATTCTGAGCTCACTCTCATGCTTGTTGATACAGTGTGAGCATGTACCCCAGGTTAAACCTGCAATTACAGGTTTACAAGGGGTGACTGCTTGCCAGTATCTGAGAGCGGAGGAGCGATCGCCCTCAGGGGCTCCAGTTCTTACCCCGAATTACCAGCCAGCTGAGTATATTTATTCAGATCCCTTTTCTGCTTCAAAACAAAGATGCTGGATTTGGACTCATATCTGGGGTAAAGCCCCTGCAGGGGTTTAGGGGAGAAGCACAATTCGTTTTATCTTACCCCTGTGCTTCAGCAGGGGTTGGCTGCCAAGGACTCGCTGTGTGATACAGCCAAAAGTTCCTCTTAAATAGGACAGTCGATACAAAGGAGGAGTTTGGCAAAAAACAATCCTGGCATTAATGGATGTGAATGGCTGGGTCAAAGTAAAAGTGCCCTGCAGCCTTGTGGAGGGCAGGAGCGGTGCTGAACCCAGCGCCCATCCTAGGATACCTGTATCACCTCTGGGCCTTGCAGGGTCTGACAGTGCCCAGCGGAGCTGCACTGGTTTGCAGCAAGGAACCAGCCCGTAGCCCCTTCTCAGTCTGAGCTGGGGGTGGTGGAGTGTATCTAACACAGCCGGTCAGGAGCAGCAACTCCAACTGTGCTTTTTCCTGCAGCTTGGAGAACTGTGGCATAACCAGCGATAGCTGCCGGGAGATCAGCGCTGTTCTCAGTAACAAGTCATCGCTGATAGATCTCTCCGTGGGGGATAACAAGATTGGGGACTCTGGTCTGGCTCTGCTGTGCCAGGGACTGATGCATCCTAACTGCAAAATCCAGAAGCTATGGTAAGGGTAGGCAGAAGTTGCTTAAATCCCTCTTGCAGCCTCTGAGCTATCTGCGTTGTGCTGCTGGTTTGCTCCCAAGCAGAAAGTTTCTCAGTTACATCCCCTAGTGAAACAAGAGTGTCTCTACTGGAAATCAGTTACTTCTCAAAACTGGATGGAGGACCCCATGAACAAGCAGGACCACCCTGAGACTGCTTGGATCAAATTCTGTGGAGAGGGTGAATGGAAATTTGTGATGATGTTTTGGCTTCCTATTATCTGCCTACCAGAACTGCATGTTCCTATTTCTTTTCTGTGTTGCAAACAGAGCTTTTGGTCCAGCAGACAGAAAGTAAGGAGGAAGCTGTGTGGTATGATACATGAATGGGTTTTGTAAAGGGTAGAAGAAAATGAGGTGATGCAACCAGAAATTCAGAATACAAAAGTAGGGCTTTGTTTTCTCATCTAAGTCATTCTTAGGGGGAAAATATTATTTTGGTTTCCCTGCAGGTTATGGGACTGTGATCTCACAAGTGCTAGCTGTAAAGATCTCTCCAGACTCATCAGTACAAAAGAGACCCTCACAGAGATCAGTCTGATAGACAATAACCTGAGAGACTCCGGGATGGAAATGCTGTGTCAGGCACTCAAGGATCCCAAATCGAAACTCCAGGAGCTATGGTGAGCTGCTGTATCAAGTTTGACACTGACTTCTTTGGAAACCTCACTGAAGAAAGATATGGGTGAAGTAATGCCCACCGGATAGATCCTTAGTTAGGATGGTTCCACGAACAATTCCTGCCAGTTGTTACCTAAAGGATTTAGGCTTACAGAGCTAAAGGGGTTTGTATTTCTAAACTCGTAGTCACTTTGAAGATCTGCCCCAGTCATCCTGTTATCAGCAATAGGAGACCAAGCACCACTTGCAGAGCTTCTGTCTAATATATTTTATCGTGCAACAAATGGCAGCTAAGAGACTTGAAGTTTGAAAGGCCTCACGTAATAGCAAAATGAGTGCTGGGATCAGATATCTCAGGTTCTCCACTGGATCCAAGCTCTCTCACTGATGAGCCAAAACAGGGCTCTAATGACATAAACCGTTCTCAGCATCCTCTCTGCTGACGGCATTACCTTTTAGGCTGGGATGGTCTGGTATCATGTGGCCAAGGAGAGGAAAATTGTTCTTTCGCATAGAACTTGACCAAGCAGCACCTGAACTTTCCTGCATTGCAAGTTCAGCTCCTGCCCCCAGCTGCATTCTTCACCTGCCGTGCTGGCCTGGGGGTTGATGAGGTGCCTCAGGAGTGCACAGTGGAGCTGAGAGTGGCTGCGAGAGCCATACGCCTCGTCTCTGATCATTCCCCTGCTTTACAGGCAGGTGCCTTTCCTAGGTGCACACTCAGAGACAGACAGACATCCCAATGAGAAAGAGCGGGAGAGGTGCTGATTAGAGAGGATTGAGCGGACGGGCGGTTTGAAAGGAGTACAGCGATTGTGGGAAGGCTTTGGTTCCTCTGTCTGGGCTCCTGCGAAGCAAATGTGAAGAAGTGCCTGATACTCTCTAGGTCCCTCGTCTAGATCTCACGCTGCTTTTGCCTTGCAGGGTTAGGGAGTGTGGGCTCACGACTGCTTGCTGCAAGGCCGTCAGCTCTGCTCTCAGCATGAACAAGCACTTGAAAGTACTGCACATGGGCGAGAACAAGTTGGGAGATACAGGTGTTGAACTCATGTGTGAAGGGCTGCTGCACCCCAGCTGCAACATCCAGTCCCTATGGTAAGATGCACCCTCAGAATTCATCTTCTCTCTTGCTGTGTTACCCTTCCAAGAACGGCGTGCAGAGGAAGGAAGATAGCAGTAGATGGTAGCATGGTGGGGTTTTGCTCATGTGAAACAATTCACTCCACAAACTGATGTTTAACTAGGCCGCTAGCAAGTGCTTCCAGGTATCCTGTTGCTCCTGGTCTCTTGCAAGTACAGACGGTCACCCATGCGACGGTGCATTCGTAGCCAGCCTTAGGTGCTCTCCCAGGTGCAGAACTGTGAGTTCATGGTGCAGTGTACCTTTGGGATCTAAAGCAAACTGTGGGGAGGCTGGAGGGAACTTGCTTTGTTCTGTGAGCTTCTGTCCTTCTCTGAACTCCCCCAGTGGGACACTGAGAGGTGGAGGAACTGCTGGTCCAGGGCTGGTGCGTTAATTCCCATGCCCACCAGTTGCAGTGCAAAGCCTGCCTGAATTCACCAGTTGCCTCCTGCTTTCCATAATCTCTGTGGGTGCCAGCACAAGTGCTGGTCCAGCCTCACCAGTAGGAGCAGGAGGCCAGCTGGAGCATCCCCTCTAGCCCTGTGGTGGGACTCGCCTCCCCCATCTGCTTGGGGGCAGGGCACCAAGCTCTGAACTGGTGTGGCTGTGGCCTGGGTGATGCCTGGGGCACCGTGCTTGTTTCCTCCATGCCATTTGACAGAAGCTGGAGCTGTGCTGCAGTGCCTGAGACTCTTGAGAGAGCAGATGAGTCGTGGGAGACATCAGCAAGAGTTGAAGCCAGAAAGATATGTTTGCTGATCAGTTTAAACCAAAGAGAGGATTATCCATGATGTTAAAGTTGAAAATACCTTCTTAGGGTTCCTTCTTCCCCTGTAGCCACACACTGTTAAGCTGTAGGAAGGGCTTTTAGGTGTTCAGCAGTCACCATGGGGATGGCTGTCTCTGTGGGAAGACCATGGACCAGCCCCTGCTGATGTCTTGGAGATGCCAGCCTAATGAGGACCTGTGGTCCCTGCTGGGGATGGCCACGCCTGTTGCCTGAGTGTAGGCTGGTCTCTGGAACCATCGCTCGCTGCACTGGCCTCTCTCTCCTCTCCCTGCAGGCTGGGGAACTGCGATCTCACAGCAGCCTGCTGTGCAACCCTCGCCACCCTCATGACTACCAAGCAGTGCCTTACCGAGCTGGACCTGAGCTACAACTCTCTGGAAGATGAAGGCATCAGGAAGATCTGCGAAGCCTTGAGGAATCCCAGCTGCAATGTGCAGCAGTTAATGTGAGAGATGTTTGCAGTCCTACTTGTGTTCCCCCTGGCGGGTGGTGAGCCCCAGTGAGCTGGGGGGCTGCGGGGAGGGGGGGTGCGAGCACTGGCTCTCTGGGAATTGCACCTGAGGGCAGCTGGGGGTCAAACACGTATTGCAGAACACTCCTTGTCCCTTCCAAGTGATGTGACCACAGTGCCTTGATCTACTTGGGTCCATAGGGCCCAAGAACAACGGGAAGGTGGTGCTGGGGAGGGGCTGATAGGGTCCTATGCTGTAAGGCACGATTCTGGCTGCTGGGCCAGACTCTCCAACCTGGTTGGGGGCCCTTCCTGTTACTGATCTTCCCATACCGGTCGTTTGTGCTTCTTTTTCCTTAATGGGAGGACACTCACTGAACTAGCTTGCCTTTTTGTTTGGGTGTAGTTTGTATGACATTTTCTGGAGTTCTGAAGTGGATGATGAACTGAGAGCCCTGGAAGAGTCCAAGCCTCAAGTGAAGATCATTTCATGAGTGGTGACTGCCTGCAGAGCAACGTCAAAGCAACGTCCTCTTCTTAATCTGAACTTTTTCATACATAAAACTAATTAACTTAATAGAGAATTTGCTTGTACCAAAAATGTTTGTGGATTCCCTGAGTGGGTGTCCGGGGAGCTGATCAACCTTCTGTGCATCTCTGGATGTACTAACTCCAAAGCTTGTGGAAGTGTACATTTTCACTGCAGCACTACTATCCTTGAAATAAACAGTTACTGGGCAGCTTCTAGAAGTGGGGTCTCTACCCTTTAGGAGCTCTTTAATCCTATAATCCCTTCTAATGCATTAGTCAGGCTTTAAAGAGAGCTCCTTTCCAAAGGCAGGAGGAGAGCTGCCTACTGTATTATTACTGGGTTGGTGCTTTTACCAGACCTCTGGCAAAGGTGCTCCAAAAAACCAAATGTTTTTTAATCTAAAACGGAGCTCTCCCCTGCTTTTCCCTAGAAGAGTTCTTGGAAAAGCAGTGGTGGCCGAGGCACTAGAGGAGAAGGAAATGAGCAGCTGTTCAGCTGCACAACTTCAAAATTGGTGTCCCTTGAAAAGCGACCTTCCTACAAACAAAAGATGCTGTCTGCATTTCTGCTAGTATGGGAAATGATTAAATGGTTTTGATATGTTTGCTCTGGCAAGAGTGGTTCTACAGGAACTTTTAATAAAGTCTGTTTGCAAATAATTAGATGCTTCATTTTTCTACTTATGAGAAGAAAAATAAGATATACCTGTATGTTTCTTCTTTAAGACAAATCCATCACTTCTGAACTACAATGCCTTGGTTTACATGTTTGCTTTTGGTAAGCTGTAGCTGAAGCGTGTCAGGACAAGGTCTTAGTTAAAGCCTCAGGTGGACAGCAAGTCTAGAAGATGTTCCCCTGGTTTCAGGAGACATGGACTGGGTTTTCTTGCCCAGTCAAGAGTTTTAATAAACCTTGTTCCAAAGGAAAATGCAGCGGTTGTGCACCTAAAAAGACTGAAACTAGCTTTAAAAACGTAGGAGACAAACCTGCCATCGCCCTGGGGTGGCCTTGCAGGAAGAATGCCGGAAAAATCCCATTCCCCAACATCTCTCTTCCTAGAGCAGTCACTTGGTGTTCTGTTCACTTCCAAACCCTGCCTGAGCACCCAAATTAAAGGTGTCCTCCAGGCTTTGGCTGGCAATGCTCACAGTTCTTCCCATACAGGCTTTTCTTTCACTTAGGGAAAGCTTTGATCTAAGCGTAGTTTCTACCGTAGCCTTCACAAATCTCAAACAGTGCCCGAGAAGTAGCTTACTTGTGTCTTCAGGCAGGTGTGAAGGACAGGATTTGTTTTTTCCTCAACATGTCTCTCTCCAGGCTACCCAAAATGCTAAAAACCCACTCCTTTTTGCTTCGGGAGCTATTTGGTCTCTTTTGAGGGCAGAAGCAGTTCTTGTGTTTAGAAACCTACCCATCCTGAGGGCTCTTCAGTAGGCTTTTCATGTTCATGGTCTCTCCTGGATTTGGCATGCATGGGCATATTTCAAGCTGGGGGTGAGGGAAGATAGGGCTTGAAGAAGAGCGAGAGCACATGTAGGGGGAGCCACAAAAAATCGGGCGTCTGGCTGGGTGTAAAGACAGCACTCTCAGAAAATTAAGGAAATATTAGAAATGGATTTCTGAGCGTACCTGGTGTGGTGGATAGAAGAGGATGTCTGAGAGGGAGGTGGAGGTGCTCCTGGGCTGCTCCCAAAGCAGGCTGTGGTCAGGCAGGGTTTGGAAGTGACCGGAACACCAAGTGACTGCTGCAGTGGATTTGCTTTCCCTGCAAAAATGCAGGCAGGGGTTGGAAAGGGCCCTGTAGCACATGCTGCTTGTCCAGTTACCAGCTTCAGCAAGAGCCATTTTGCCATCTCGGTGAGGACGGAGCATCTCAGGCCAGGCCAGCCCAGCAGAGCTCTGCAGGTGCCCCCAGGGTGGGGAGGAACCTGTGCACCCATGTGCTGTGCTTTCGGAGAGCGTGAAGTCTTGTGCTCGGCTCTACAAACCAGATGTAAAATCCTGGGATTCAGGAGCAAGCCACTGTAGCAAGAGACACTTGTGCTCATAAGCAAGACTCGAGCAAGGATTTGTATTCCTAAAAACGCACCTGGTTTTATTCATCTGTTAGGTCCAACTCACGTCTGTGACAGACCTTGTCACAACCGTGAACTCGGGAGAGTTGAAACACAGAGAAATTTGCTCCTGTGTGTTGGACACGTGGGTCCTCACCATTTTAAGCTAGAAGGAGGAGGAAGTCATTGAGTCACAAACCTGTCATGTGGACGGGACGTTAGGCTGGCAGCCAAAGCCTTGCTCATACCAAGCTCACAGCTGGAGCACGCAGCAGCTCCTGGGATGTCACAGGCATGTTCTGGTTCTCAGCAAACAGTTGGACCAGCTGTACCAGTGGTTTGCAAATACTGACTTTCTATGAGCAAGTGTTGGGGTTTATCTGGTATAATGAAGCTTAAAGATCGACTTATGCAGCCAAAATAGAAGGTTAAGAAATCCAGGTATGACTTTCAGTTTTAAGCAAATTCTAGAGGCTTAAAAAACGTGCCCCTTGAGATCAAATAGCAGAGGACTTAAATCCAGAGCGAGCAGATTTGTATTTCAGATCCCAGTAACAGCAATGGTGGTTTAGAGTCTGTTAGAACTTCAGGTTTCTGCTACTAGTTCAGGATTCTGCAATAACCTTACTTTTTCACTCCTCAGAGCACATGATCTCGAGCAGGGAGGTTACCGTGTTCCGCTTAACTTTGCCAGGAGCCCTTACGCAAACATTACTGGCCTTGCAAACAGGTTATACCCCAGCTGAAGCTGCTGCTTGCTTTGGAAGCTTGTCATGCCGTGGCAGTCCTGGCATCCCTGGCTGCTCTCTCGCTGCCTGGGCTTTTCGGGAAGGAGTTCCAGCGCAGTGAGGCCCCAGGCACCAGCTCCAAATAATACGGATGCTAACAGCAATTTCGGTGCTGCTGTTGAATCTGAAAGGGGAAATCAAGCCAACCGTGTTTGAAGAGTTAACCCCAGTGCTCCCCCCTTCCCTGAAAACAGTGCTTGCAGCCGGAGTCACTCCCAGTCCTTTACTGAAGTAGCCTGAAAGGGAGCTACTCCTTGCCTCAGTTCCCCTTTTGCACAGAAAATTGTGATTTTTCATTATCATTTCCAACATATCTCTTCCTTTCTGTGTGCTTGGTCACCCCTTCCCCCCCAGCACCTCCTTTTTGTTTCATCTCTTTTACCAATGGGAAAAATACACACTGACAAAAAAAAAACCCCAAAACTAACGGGCAAAGTACACAGAATCACAGAATCACAGAATGGCAAGGGTTGGAAGGGACCTCGGGAGATCATCTAGTCCAATCCCCCTGCTAAAGCAGGTTCTCCTAGAGCATTCTACACAGGACTTCGTCCAGGCGGGCTTTGAATATCTCCAGAGAAGGAGACTCCACAGCCCCCCTGGGCAGCCTGGGCCAGTGCTCTGTCACCCTCAGAGTAAAGAAGTTTTTCCTCATATTCAACTGAAACCTCTTATGTTTCAGTTTGCACCCGTTGCACCTCTCCCCATAAAGCAAGAAGGGTTTTGACCTACTGTACCCATTCCCCTGCCCACGGCTGCAAACAAACCACGGACCAGGCATTTCTCCTGCTGGGCCACAGCATCACAGCCCCCCCACTCCCCCCCCTTCCTCGCTTCTCCCACTTGTCTGGCACCCGCACCAGAAATGCCAGCCAGCCAAACGCCTTCCCAGGAGGGCAAGACTGACAAACTGACGGCTTTGTGAATATGTGAGGTTAGGCTTGCCTCCCTGGGCTAAAGCCGGCTGTACCCACGGCAGGAGGAAAGGCAGCCCCCGGCAAGGAGGAAGAAAGGCGCTGGGGTCAGATGCCGGCATGGATGATAAGCCTTTCCAAGCCGGAGGGCAAATCAGTGGCACATGGGAATATTCGGGACCACGTAGCTGGGGGGATGGAAACTTTTACCGGCCAATATTGTGTCATGGCCTATCTCATTTGCAATTAAGGGCAGGTATGCCGTGGGAGCGATGAATTGTAGGCAATTCCTCAAGCCCTTGAAGATGTTCCAGAGCAGACGCTCAACAAAAGCCCCGAGATGGGCTGCCCTGCCATCAGGCTGGCACACAGCACCCATAATATCCACCAGAGGGAAATAAAGCACCAGCACAGCTGCTGTTTGCACAGGCACCCTACAAGCAAATCTTCCAGCACTGCTGGCTGTTTCCCACCTCACTGGTAAGGATCGCGTCCCAACAACCACAACGTGTCCTTGGGACAGTGCACAGACCCAAAGTATCCTGCAAAGCTAGCACTTCCTGCCCTAAATTACTTTTTTACACCCTAAGTGTTGGGTTTGTCTTGTTTCACACTTTAGATGCTTGGACTAGATCTAAGGAAGAAATTCTTTACAACACTGAGGGTGGTGAAACCCTGGCAGGGGTTGCCCAGAGAGGTGGTGGAGGCCCCATCCCTGGGAACATTCCAGGCCAGGTTGGACGGGGCTGTGAGCAACCTGATGTGGTTAGCGGTGTCCCTGCTCCCTGCAGGGGGGTTGGGCTGGGTGACCTCTAGGGGTCCCTTCCAACCCAAAACATTCTAGGATTCTATGATTCTATGATTAGTCCAGTCCCTGCTTATGCTTTGCAGATGATGGAAGCACCTCTGCTTCTGGGTGCATTAATACTCCCCAGGCCTTACTGTCATTGCCTAGGAAACACCGCCTGCCTACCGTGACTTCCAGGCACAGCTTTGCTAATTGAGCACCTTGGAGCTGGGTTGGATGCATCAGCTCCTCTCTAATGTGCAGTAACCGCAAATCGAGTAAGGGAGGCTGCACTTAGAGATAATTAGAATATAAAGCACCAACGAGCTTTCTCTCTAGCACCTCCTACAACGAGGGAAACCAAAGACTGGTTTGTTCAGCCCTGACTGCAGTTGCTTTCTTCGCAGCAGGCACCCAGGGGATCTGTTCCCCCTTCCGTGCCACAGCATGCAAAGCAAATTGGAATTAGACATGCTGCGTGGCACGCAGCCATGTCTCCTGACTCCGGCGGGACCAAAGATAGCTGTAATCCCAACAAGGTGGGTTACAGTCGGCTCATGGATGCTGTGGGGAAGAAATCTGGATTTGGGTGGCTTAAGAGAGAGCAAGCAGAGCTCCCGAGGCTGGGGAGCCAGAATGGGACTGATCCGAGTCTTCACAGGGAAAATCATCAAAGCCTGGATGGGTTAAGGAGTGAAAACCAGATGATGGGGGAAGGAAAGTGCTGGAGGATTGTGTTTTACCTCCTTTCTCACCTCCCTCCGCAGTTCTTGGCCCTGTAATCTCCATGTAACTTAGCACCATCTTCTGAAAGAGAGAACCACTCCTGCTTTTCAGATGGCTCGTTGCCTCTAAGTGTTTAAAGCACCTTTCAGCTCCTGAGTTTTATGCCTGGCAGCCCTGGAAGGGTATGGGATGGCATTGGCATGGCTGAGACTGTGGATCTAGCTCCAGTAGTGTGTGCAAAGACTGCTCATTCACTGCTGGCATCCAGCTGCAACAGCCCCAACATCCACAGGACATACTTGTCAAAAAACAGAGATCCTATTGCTTTGGATAGAGAAAGAAGAGTTAAAACAACTGCATGGGAAAA